AACATACAGAGCGCATTTAGAAATCGCAGGGGTATTTTCGGCCATCTATCGGGCAAGCTTTTAAATTGCACCAATTGGAGTTCACGCATTTCTATCAGGAAACCAAAAGAAGGTGGCACAAATTGGTGGATAGGTATTTTTTTATTTTAGCAGTCCTTGTGACAGAATGAAGGTACACAAAAGAGCCGATTTTCTCCTTCCATTTAGTCTAGGCAGTCATATGAAGCGCCTCTTTTTTGTTTACCAAAAACGGAGCCAATATTGAGTTTAGCTTTGTTTTACTTTTGCATAGGGAACCACAAGAGCTGGTAATATTTTGTCCATAATACCGGTCTTCTTTGGTGCAATGCTCTAGTGTTATGTTTGCACTACCGTGAAAGTACAAGGCTGTTAGGAAAACCTAGGCTAACCACTAAACTAAGCTGTCTTAAGTTTATTTGCTCGGGGACCTTTTGACGTTTTGTTGGGAAATAGCCTTCTAGGTAAGTAAATAACTCGCAGTGTTGAAACATCCCTAATGTATAGTTAAAACAAATCACTACCCGCGGAAGCTCATCAACTAACTCTGGGAGAATTAGGCAAAAAAGCATCTTACACTAGATCCTTTTAACTACCGATTTTTCGAAAGCCGTCAGTAAATATTTTAACCCATCCGCACAAGCATTACATAAAGGTTAGGGATAGTCGCCAAGTGCCGGATGAGAAAACGTCAAAACGCATGTTGACAACGGCAATCATCCGCGGAAATTTTCCAGTTTTGGTAAAGTTTTGAGTAACGGCTTTCGTCGGCCAAAAAGACCAATAACGCCAAGCGTGTATGGACGAACATGCACCAGCTGTGAGGAGAATATACATAAATCTCCTGACTCTATCTCACTTTAAGTCTGAAAAAGCAGGGTTTTTCGTCAAAAGCAGCAGTTGTGTACGCCAAGACTATATTTTCTCCTTGGATTCGGCGCCGCAGAAAAAAGCAAAAACGATGACCATCCAGCTGCAAATAAACTTGATCTGAATAATTATTCGTGGCCTTACGCAGCTTAAAATTGCTCCAATGTATTTTTATTTCGAAAGCCTGCAGGTGATATATAAGTGTTCTGAGAAATTGAAAGTCGACTTATTTAAGGCCACAATTCATCGTGCGGAGTTTCACATTTCGACTCTGAGAGTGACAATACAATTTTACTTTGAGACAAACAAAAAAGTGGGCCAAAAATTGACGATTCATAGGGTTTTTGAACCTTATAACAATCTTGGCCAGGTATCACCTTCCATGGACCTGAAGCTTAGTTAAGTTGATAGGAAGGACTGTTTCAACTTTTTATGCGGGCATCGACCACAGATCAAGAGTTATTGCGAACAAGAGAGTATAAGGGTTAAATGAGCGGAAACATTTGGAGAAATGGGTTCTGCCTAGTGGATACCAAGGATTTGAATACCTTTGCATGCAAACACACCAGTAAGAAAATAGGTTTGACTCACAAATACGTTAGCTAGATTAATCCTGCGGGGTAAATGATGTTCGACTCAAAAGACATTTCACCCTGCAAAACGATAGCAGCATAGCGAACTGCTTAACATACAATACAGAACATACAGTTGGTATTCAATCTCACAAAAGTACGCGGTCGATGTGTAAGGCCGGAAATCCTACTATTTTATGTCGAAAGTTTCAGAATAATCAATTAGTTGATACCCCTTAACAATGCTCAAGTGGTAACAGACAAGATTACGGCCTTTGATATGCTTGCATGAAAATACTGTTTGCACACACTTGTTTTCCTCCATTCCTTTCCAATGCAACGTTGCAACATCGAAAGACTGTTTTTTGAATTTTTATAATAAACGAGATAATCTTGATATATCTTGGACCTCAATATGTTAAAGATGCGTGCAACTAGATAAATCGGCAAAAAGATCAATAACTTCAAGTGTGGGTGGATGAACGGGCATTAGCTGTAAGGAAAAAAACACTCAAATCCCACGATTCTATCTCGCTTTACTTTTGACAGGACAGGGTGTTGGAGCCGTACTATAGAATCAAGTACAGTGATGCTATCACACCCTTCGTGAGCAGAGCGTCTAGTGTGTGGCTACTATAGGGGCCAAGCAGTCTCTCCTTGAGAGTAAGTGCAACTTTATGTATGACTTCGTCAACTATTTTGGGTTTCCGTGGCTTGTTATTGTAGTACTGAGGGAGAGAAGGATGCTCTATTTTGAAGGTACTATCCAACATTTTCAGCAAACATGGCTCCATTTACGGAGAGCAAGGGATAAAGTAAAGTAAAATATAAGGTATAATGTTATAGAATACTCAAAATGAAAGGGTTACATGATATCTACATCTGTTATGCAGACAGGTCAGCTTTCAACCTCTCCATTTCCGCTTCTTCACACGTGTGGTAGCGCGCTAGGAATAGGAGTACGGAGTGTTGATACAGCGATGTACGGCAAGACATGTGACGAAAACTTCAGCACATAGTACGGATGGGCTTTGCAGCCATTATTTTAGAGTAGAGAGGGTGAGCAAACTCACTAAGGATGCCATCAACAAATTGCTTTAAAGTTTTAAAGTGTGGTTGTATTATACTGTCAGCTAAAAGACATAGGAGACAGTGACAGCTGAAGAGAGCATTCGGAGGGTAGGTTTAATAATGACCAGGTCTCATTTTAAGAAAAGCTGTCTAAAAACAACTTGTCATGAGCTGACGTCAATTAGCTTTGTCGTACTACTATGGATTTTACAGCATTGACATTTCTTTAGCAAAATTGTGTTCGGATAAAGAGAACAAAATGACAATGCCACGATAAAAAAGATAGTAGGATCGTTTAAATGGCAGTTCCCGAAGAGACCCGCAAACCGCAGTAAATGGGTTGTAAGGACGAACCAATATGTCATATGATTTACTAATTGTGCGAATCAGTGAAGGTGGCTGTTAATAAAAAGAAATTAGTATGAGTAGCATAAGGAATCTAAAAAGAAAACAGCATAGAAGAAAATTACGCAAAAATAGGCAAACACAGTCATAATCTCCAAAATATGAAACGGTTACCCACATCAGTGGTCAAGTTTAGTGAATCCAAGCCGAAAGCTTGATAGAAGACGGTTGGCTCAATGTTTGCCTTTCCGTTTCAAAATTATAACTGTAAAGTCGCGTACTTTTAAATGGCTAATTTTCTATAAGAAGTCTGAATGAACCGCAAAACTTTATAGAAATAGCACTTAAAAAAAGGTTGGTGTTTTGCCTTAATTACTTCCATTTTAGTGCCGTGAATAATAGCTCAAAAGCATTATAATGCACTGCGATCTTGCTCTTCCAAAGCGGCCATTTCTCTCAAATTCACTTAGATTGAATTTCAACCTCACTAGCCTCATTGAAGGCTCTTATCCCCATAAACTGAAATTTATGTCAGATAGCCCACAGCATCCGTTGGCACGATGACTGACTGCACGCAAAAAATGGTCCACACTTTTTTCATTTATTTTTTGTGGATAGTGTTGACGCTACACTGAAAAGCGGCATTATTAATGACGAAACCCAGCAACTCATATAATTCTGCTTCCGTCCTAAAATGCTCAAAGTTTTGCTGTTTTCTGCAGATAGCCAGGTAGCGGCCTTTACGTTATTTTTAAGATAAACTGCAAAGCTACAAAAAATTATTCATCCTCCGGTTCAACGAATCACGCGCCCGGATATTTTCTCAGTTCAATAATATTAATGTGTTTATTGCAAATAGTCTGTGACATAAGTATTGATAGACTTATACAGAATGACATGCGGGGTCTTAAAGTTATTTTGGCGCTCAGGATTAATTGCTTTTTCTGTCAAGACAAACAAAACTATGTGCATTTTTCGCGTGTATACGCTTGAATATTAGTATGTCATTTAAAAGTGCTCTAGATCAATTTTTTACGACGACGTTGAAATAAAGATCCAAATACATTCACGAATTTAAGGAACAGTTGCTAAGTATATCCGAGAGATATTTTCAAAAATATCTTTTTAAATTGCGTAAACAAAAGGGGATACCAAAATAACTGAAACTTCCATTTTTTCATTGTAGTTAAATTATTATCATGAAACACTTTCGTCGGTAGCAACCAACAAAATGTTTTTGACAGCCTTGCCTCTTTTTATAATATTTACGCCACTAAGCCAAGAAAAGGAAGATAACTTTCTTCCATATTTATCAATTTTTGCCCTTTAATCTACGGAAAAAGCAAAGCAATTTCCGTCAAAGTAAGACGAATTTCTAAGAAAGGAGAAAATATGCTTTAGAAAGCTGTATTTGCAAAAAGGTGCTTTTAAAATTATAATAGTATGAATAACAAATTAACGGCAATTTAGTTGAGTGCTCTGATCGCTTTGATGTTTCTCACGTTTTCTATGAACGTATTTTGTAAATGAAACTCGTTAGGTATATATTTTAGCAAAATATTGAAATTCAAATACATTTTTTGCATCTCTTGATCAACTGAGTATGAGCACTTATTTTGCTCGCAGTAAACATCTTACAGATAAATCATATCCATTTTTACAACCCAATTCTACTTCCTCTTTGACTAGTAGGAGTAAAATGGAAAATTACATGTCAGAATATTATGAACTATCTTCATAGAGGAAGTGCCCCTCGGGTAGACTGAACTTTGTAATGCGACCAATGCTCAGCCACTTTAATCCTATTGGACCATTTGCGCAAGGACGCGACACGTCCATTGGTTTAGATTTCTCACAGGCGGTCTGCTCCAGCTGAGAAGAGCATTTACGGTTGTGATCAGTTTCAGACCAATTTAAGGAAATTTACACTTGTTTACGAATTTCGCTCTCCCAACTCGGCAGACTGCACAGGCGGCACAAATTCCAATGAGCGCATAAGACCTTGTTGTCAACAAACTAAACAGACTCAACCTCAGTGTTCGTTTTTACTTCGCAGATTTCTTGGAAAAAGCATACCTTGATTGGCAACGAAGGACATATTTGTTTCCAATTCGTTTTTAAAGTATGCCCGAGCAGCCTAATGACTACCGAGTTGCCGTGTTTGGGTCAAGCGGAGTGGGAAAAAGTTCACTTGTTATGCGGTTTGTCAAGGGTACATTCAAGGAGGCATACGTCCCGACAATCGAAGACACCTTTCGACAGGTGACACTTTTCTGTAAATATTTCCGAAACAGCTATAGGAAAATCGTTTTAAAATCCACTTTTGCTCAATCTTTTGTAATTTCGCTAGAATAGTATATGCAGGGAACCTATCTTCGGAAGAGATAATACAATTGCTTGCACAATTACCAAATTTTTTATACATTACTGTTATTTGTGTACACAACAAGGCATAACATATATTTAGTGTGTAAGCCTGAAGTTCATATTTCAGTATCCTTTACTTTGTAAGTTTTGCGTTGTTGTGAAATGCAAAAGTTTTTCCAAATCTACTTGTCCTTATGTACCTAAAATTGTGACGATTGCCAAAGTATCTGGATTTAGTAAATATATGACTAAACTTTTGATTTTCACGAAAAGGTTTATCTAGATTTAAGTGCTCTTAGATTTCGTCACTTTATACGTTACTGCTGCTCGTATATAAGTGTCAGATGAGTGCTCACCTCATGAAGACTAAAGATGACTACATATACGTTGAGTTTTAAATTAGCAACCAGCTTAAATTTGTGCAAAGTTCGTAAAAGGTTTGCGGAAGCGTTTACACATTATCCACAAAATACATGCTGTAACTCTATCGTATCAGTCGCGAAAAATAACAATAAGCATAAAATATATTCGTATAGTTTTTAATTTAGTCAAATTCTTAATGGTTACACGGCGCATAGTTTGAGAATCGTAGTCAGTTTATGTAGTGCAAATAAAAAATAAAATAGTTTGTATTATTACATACGCGTCACCCTAAAGTGTTATTTGGATCTAAAGAATACAGACGCACGTTCTGCCCGACACTGTGCAATTATTTTAAAATGAGTCACCAATAATTCGTTCCCGAGAATAAGAATATAACGACGTTTAGACAACTACTTTATCGCAACCAGTATGAGAACCTAACAGCTGAATGGTCCTGTTTAATCACAACGAAACTTACTCCTTTCTAGCTTACCATTACAGTTAGGTTTTAAGATGTTTCATATTTGCATGGGTATGCTGATAGATATAGATTACCTGAGAAAATATTACTGGAAAAACCAATACTGGATGACCTAGATTCTCACCAAAACACCTGTTCTATTCTCAAACTGATAGAAGCTTGAGCATGACAGCTTTTATGCATTGGAGACGGAGTGAGACTTTCAGTCAGGTCAGCCTAAAGTCGATAAATGAGTTAATACTGACTGCGAGCAAGTCAACAATGAGTGTTTATTTTACAGATCATTTACTTCTAAAGGTTTCCTTTACACGGACACGGAGATACTATAAATACTAAGAACAATTTGTTTCTCGCGCTCTTAAAGGGGACAAGATTTACTTCTAACATACTATTACAGCGTTTTGCCTCGACTGACAGTAATTCAGATTCACCGGTAGACCGCACGCATTTTATGAAGTGACCCGTTTACTCCCCTAACCATTCCAGTTTGATTAATGGAAATTAGCTCATTTTTCCAACTGTCACCTCTAAGCCTCCAATCCTCCGCGTTTGCTTTGATAACAGAAATATAAAAATCTTGTATTTGTCTAAGTAAATTAAAGGCAAATTTGTTTGCCATGCGTACATTTTTGGAATTGGCTGGTTAACCAAGATCTAATATACATCGGTTCAGACACTCGATTTAATTTGAGGCTGAAGTCCTGTTACAAACATCTGTTTTCTGTTCCTGACACCTTTTATAAAAATAAACTGCAAACATATTCAATGTCCACGTTACTGAATTAAGCCATATACTGGAGGTTAATATTGATCTTGTAACCAAGTCGTTATTTTTGGTTACTTTTATTCAGGTAATCAGTTGCAATAGACAGGTCTGCACACTTCAGATAACTGACACAACCGGAAGTCACCAGTTCCCGGCAATGCAAAGACTGAGCATGTCAAAGGGGCACGCATTTGTCCTGGTCTATTCTGTCAGCAACAAGACTAGCCTCGACGACCTGGCTGCAATCTACCAGGAACTGGCCACCATAAAGGGAGCTGAAATCAAGGTTATACCAATCATGCTGGTGGGGAACAAGACAGACGAAGAAGCCGATCGAGAGGTATCCACGGCACAGGGGGAAGCACTGGCGAAACGCTGGCAGTGTGGTTTCATGGAGACTTCGGCAAAGGCGAACGTCAACGTGAAGGAGGTCTTTCAGGAGCTGTTGCGGATGGAGACAAGACAGAATATGACCCTGGTCGGGGACAATTCAGAATCCTCCAGATTCTTCTCCTGTTTCAGGTGTTGTTACAGAACTTCCAACGCAAAACAGAAGTCCCCACGTGGGCCAAAAAAGACTTAAAACGCAAGACACACACACAAAATAGTACAACAGTACATCTTATATTATAATGAGCTTTTCATTATCTTCAATCGGGACGATGACCAATCCATGGTTCCTGTATAGATTTTAAACATGGTGTGGCCAGACATCGACGCTGCCATTTCGCTTTGCGGACGTATATCTGAGAGGACGTGCACTGAAGACAGTGTTTTATCCTAGTTATCAACCACGAGGAAACCGATGTACGGTATTATAAGTACTATTATGAAGTATTATTTTGTACGGTGTGATTTGCTAACCGCATGCCGAACTGAGCCTGTAAAAATATTTTCTACGTTTCTTAGCCTGCACTGTAACCAGAGCTTCTTCTATGCAATCTTATCTTTTCTGAAAAGTAAACTCATCATCTCCAGTTGCCTTTCATATTTTCTTTCTACCCTCTGATTGAAACCTAGGTTTTTCGACTGTTTTTTTAAATGGAGAGTAAACATGAAAAATAGTTCTGTCCAGCGAACAGTACGGCCTAGCATTCGTGTAACATGCCGAAATATGCGAAAGATTGATACTCTTTCAGCAATCAGCATTGAGTAGGGTTGTAGTACTGATTATTGCTTAGTCTATTCTCAAGTCTTTTCAGTCACAATAATATGCCGGCTTTCTAACGAGCTTCAGTCTGGCCGCTTACAAGATGTATGTGCCGTAAAAAGTGGCTGCTTAATTAGTGTGCATTTTATTTTTGATTCTGACTGGCTTTACAGATTCAAATATATTTTATTGAAAACATAAACGGAAAAATTATTTCTTGTACGAGTTTGGTAGAAAATTACGTCATCTTTAAATATTATACTTAAAGAAAGAGTATCTCTCGGTTTTGAAAAAGCTCCCAAATTGCCGACTAATTTTTAAAGCTAGTGAATGCTATACTTTTATCCAGGGTTTAAAAAATACACGTATCGTATGTTTTTGCCTACGGTTTGAGGAAGAAGGCAAATAGTTCTCATTAAGTATTGCAACAGATTTGGAACAGGCTGTATACATTATAGGTAGCATTGATAAATTGACGAATGTGCTGATTAATGAATGAATACCTCACAATCGTGAAAAACCTCGCAATTAGAAAATTTTTAATACGCAAAATGGCCTTTCGTTAAGTAAAGTATTTAAAGAAGACGTACTTGGCTGCCAAACTATTACAAAAAATAAGTTTTCCGTTTACGTCTTCCATAAAATATATTTAAATTTATAGAGACAGTCAAAATCAATGATAAAAATGCATACTACTTAAGTAGGCACTTTCTACAGAACACAAGTTTTGTTAGCGGTCAGAAAGAATTTCGTTAAAAGGGCTGGTATCCTATTGGGACTAAAATAATTTGAGAATATGCTACCTGCTAATCAGTATTACAAACTCACTCAATGCTTATTAGCGTAAGACTATCAATTTTCCGTAAATGTCGGTATGTTACACGAATTCTAGAGTATACTGTATACTTCAAGGCGTTTGTCAGCCACTTTGGCATAAAATAATGAAGTTTTCGGTTAAAACCCTGAGATAAGTTTTAGTTGGCTACCCTTTACATGCGAGTAATGCATTAGTTGCCGAGTATCACGCAACATGTCGGCATACGCGAAAGATTGATACTCGTTCGCTAATCGGCATTGACTCAAGTTTTGATACTGATTATCGTGTAGTCTAATCTGAAGTCAATCCAGTCACGATAGGATGCGGGCTCTTTCAGAGTTTCGTTCTGACCACTATCAAAAAGTATCTATTGTAAAAACTGGCTACTTAATTAGTATACCTTTTTATCATTTATTTTGA